TATCAATTTCAACTTTAAAAAAAAATTAGAGTTTCAATTTATATTTAAAAATCAAAATTTTAATTCAAAATTTAAAATTTTACTTTATTAAATGTTGATATTTAGATTTAGAAATCAATTATATATTTTAATATAATCAATTTTTAAATGTGAATACTAATATTTAATAAAATAGTTTTTTAAAATTTAAATTAAGTTTTAATTAAATAAAATGATATACTTCAATATTAAAATTCTAATTTATTTCAAGAATTAAAATTAATATATACTTTACCCTTAATAGATATTTACTCATTTAAATTATTATTATTATTTTGTAATTCTTAAAATGTCATAAGACTATAAACACTTGCTATCTAAAAATAAATATTTTATTGCTATTTACATTTTTTTAAACAAAATTACATTTTTATAAAAAGGAAAACGAGTTAGAGCATGTTTGGGTTAGTTTCTTAGAGTTTTAACTTTTTGATACTATATATTTCATAAGTTTAAATTTCTCTCATGAAAACTTACATTTTTAAGTTTTTTTTTTTAATTTTAAAAAGATTCTAAACAGTAAAAACTCAAAATTTTAAACTTTTACTTTTCATAAATTTTTTTTACTCATTTTTTTTATCTTTAAATAAAAGTAATTTTTAAAATTTTTCCTTCAATAAAAATTTAAACTTACTATTTATAAATAATACTAAAAAAACAAAAGTTTTAAAAAACTAAACCAAAGATGCCCTTACACTCAAACTTATCCTGTAACAACTTCTACGTGGGGATCTACCATATCCAGGAGTTCTATTATTGCTATGTACATTGATTTGAAAATTTTCATTGATTTAAATAACTTGGGGCAAAATTGTACCCAAAAACTATTTCTATAAATAATTTGGTGAAGTCAGGAATCTGAATATTAAAATGAGATATTGAAAGTGATCTCGTACAAAAATGGAAATAATAATTTCGTGATTCTTTCGTGTGGCGTGAAAAGTGTGGAATGCGTACTGCGCACTCCGCGTACCCCACAAGTAACCAGCGGCGGTTCCCCCCCGCCCCCCCAATCCCCTTTTTTTTTTTGGCAGAGTTTAGCTTCTTCAAAACAAATTCCAAAATTTCTACATTCGATAAGCCACTCAATTTCTGCATTAATACCAATTGAGTGCTATAATTATTATGGTGACATATAGGCACCTCAACATTTTCAGTAGTAAAAATCAATGAAGTAGGTCATGTCTAAACATGAATATTAAAAGCCTCCCATTTCCCTTGTTACTCTTTCGAAGTTTTTCTTTTAAGGCTTCTATGATTTAATTGTTTGAAAAAAAGCTATTAATTGATGGATAATCTTTTATTTTTATAGAATTTAAATACTCTTATTTGTTTGATTAAGTTAGCAATTAATAATTTTCTCTAAACATTCAAACCAAATAGAGTCAAGTTTTTTTTTAACCGAAAACATTTTTTGGCCATCTTCCTTCCTAATACGTTAGTAATGAAAAAGCCTTTAATACACTACTCTTATTATGGGTTTGTTTAATATAGTAGTTAAAATTCAGCAAATAATAAGTAATAGGTGGCGATAATGGACGAGGAGTGGCAATTAATATATATAGCATGTGATAAATAGTGAAAAGTAGATAGTGGATAACGGAAAGTAAGTAGCAGATAACGGAAAGTAAGTAGCAGATAACGGAAAGTGAGTAATAGATAATAAATAATAAATTTGATTAATATAATTATTTGGTTATACAATAGTTAATGGTT